TTTGCTGAGACATTTCATCCTTCATCGCCCTGCATCCAAAGGACTTCTTAAGCTCCAAGAGCCACAAACAACTGTGGGACTCCAGTTTGTTTGTGACACCTTGGACTGAATAAGTCCTTTGGATGAAGGATGACAGCAAAAGAAAGTAACCATCCAGATGACCAGACTGAACATTTGTTGGATGGTTATACAGATTTGTTTTAGAGTTTTTTGTGAGCTGATTTGAACACCTTGCCATAAGTTAGGTCCAGCTGACTGTTGCACAATATAGGCTGTATCATTCCAACTCAGTAGTTTTTTTTTTTTTGTTGGTAAATTCAAACCAGGTTTTTACTAGTTAGAAAGAAATAAATTACCTTTCAGGGATGAACTTCTGTGGCTCAGGCCAGTGCTCTGGGTCATGATGGAGGAAACCTGCAAAGACCTCCAATATTATCCCTTTAGGAAAGAAATGACCATTTATGATGCAGTCATGCTCAACTTCTCGTGTAAACCTTGATGGGACAAGAAAGAAAAAATAATACTCCTTTAGTTTTTACAACCTCATTTCGTTTTTCTTTTTTTTTTTCCCCACAAGGGATGGTTTTGATCAGTGAAACGTTCAGAAATCAAAAGGTTTAGTAAAACGTGTAACTTCTTCCTCACAAATCATACAGCTTACTTGAAAATAGGAGAGTAGAGCCGCAATGCTTCACATACAACCATGTCCAAATACTTTAGTTCCTGGATATTTGTGTAATCTGGAGACTCCTAAAGAAAACATGCATTAATTAAAACCAAAAACCATCCCATGCTAAAAATACAAAGAACACAGCAGACTCACGTGTCTTGTGAAGAACTCATCCACCTCCTCCTGTACTTTGCGCTGACATTCAGGGTGGAGCGCCAGCAGGTAGCAGGTGAAGGATAATGTGTTGCTGATGGTGTCATAGCCTGCCAGGAGGAAGACAAAGGCCTGACCCACAATCTCATCCTCAGTTATTACCTTTTTTTGTAGTTGGGTCATCTGTGACTCCTCTGACTGAGAATGGTTGTTTTCTTGCTCCGAGGCTGACGATTGTTTCTGCTTTCTCACGTTATCAAACTCGTCTGAGTGGCTTCCTGTGCCAAACTGCTCCGAAGAAATGCTCTCTTGTCCAGTCCGAGCATCTAAAATCAACTGAAGGAAGTCTCTACGCCTCTGCAAGCACATTTCATCTATTAATTATTAGACAGTGCATCAAAGAAGAAAGCTACATATGGAACATAGAATTTAAATATATAGAATTTAA